AAAGCTTAATGCAGTCACTATAACAATATTCGAATTTCACAAATTTCGACACACACACACACACATACATACATCTAATAGCTAAAGCGTACAGCTACCCATCTGAACCCCCATCTTATCGGACGGAGGCACCTCCTCCCAAACCTAGCCTCCGCAGGCACTTGGAGGCACTTTACACATATACCTATAGCCCCCCCCCCCCCCCTAACCGAAACTTCTGGATCCGCCCCTGTATTTTGCTAAACAATAAGCAGGTTTGAGAAACATTGATGAACATCAATTAATATCCATGTGAGAACTTTTATACCTTTATGTTTCTTAATAATTGGTTTATTACGTGTGCATGCATTTAGCAGATTGATCTGATTGGGTTTGGGCTGGGAATAATGAGTGTGTGGGTGTGGAGTGGGTGTGGGGTGGGTGTGTGTGTGACTTGTGACCCTGTTTCTTCTTTGTGTGTTTTTCTATTTATATCTTTGTTATGTTTATATATTTTCAGACATTCTGTTATTGGCAAGTGATTGCTGTTGGATGTGGTTTTTGAAATACATAAATAAAAAAATTAACTTAAACAGCTTACTGTAAAGGGCGGAGTACCACAGAAACATGTGTCTGCCATTAAAGTTCTCACAGAATAGGCAATAACTTCTTCAGACTACAATTTAACTCTTATCATACTTATACACAGCATCAAAAGTACTCTGCCAGATCAACTCAAGAAATACAACCTTAATATTAATGAAACTAAAAAACAGAACAATAACAAATTAAACGAAATGGAAGTGGCACATGGAGAAGCTGCAACAACAACAGCGGCGGTGGCAGCAGTCAGCAACACACACACACAAAAAAAGACAGGGCGGAGCGAACCCAATACAGTCGGTTAGCTTCGCACATAATACGTGCACCTTTACCGCCTACACCTTCACCTGACAAACATGTATAGTTAGTAATATTACACCTCTAGAGTACAAAAACAAATATATGAATCTAGATGTGTATAAGAGACAGACTTTTATCTGTCTGCTGTATGGACGTGTGTTTGTGTGTTTATACAGGGTTTTGCTGAAGAAGTGTAACAATATGTACTGGCATTAATTTCACAGCGGTACAGGTGAAAACAGTTTGGTCGAGTGGGACAGTGTTTTCTACACTATTGGTCCCAGGTTCGAACTCATAATGTCTTCCACTTTTTTTCCATTATCTTTCATTGTCCGTACTTAACTTAAGGTCTTATTACCGGTCAAGCCATAGAACTGAAATTTATGCAGAAGAGATTTATGATGTCAGCGGAGGTATGCACTCTCAAAGTGCCCTCTAGTTACTACTATAATCATTATTATCATCCTCCTTATCATTACCATTATAGATACCAAAACACCTACTTTATATATACCTGATACGACTGTGGAATCTGACGGGGATTTGTCTATAACCACCCTTAATCTCACTTTAACATCGCCAGGCGATACGACTGTGGATTCTTCTGAGATTACTAATACAAGTTCGAGGCAAGGTTAGTATAGTAATTATCATTATCATTTTCATTATTATTGGCTTTTCCAAGCAGGAAAAGCAATTGTTTAATGCAATGGATTTAAGGGGAAACACCCCTCACCAGATATTGAAGAGACGGATCAACTGATCTGAATGAAAATTTTGGGAAGTCACAAGAAAAAAATTTGTAAAGTAGAAGTAAAGTGGAAATTGCAACAAAAAAAAATCATTAAAAGGTATAAAAGTCAAAATAAAAAATACTATAGGCCTACTTAATAATACTAAGATAAATTAGGAAGTAAAAAAATGAAAATTAAGTTCACAAGTAACGTGACTTTAGAAAAACTCGAACTGTTGCTGCAATTTTTGAATTGAATTGAATGGTATATTAATCTAATTGCGAGGTACACCGAGACTCATATTGCGCGCTATATGAGTCGATCCTGTTTATGTCAGTGCATATTTAGTTCATCTACTTTGAGTGTTACAGTAATTCAGTGCTTGAAAGCCTAAATTATTCATGCATATCACTGCAAGTTTGCGTTTAACCTAGCAGCAGTTGGTTTAAACGATTTAGAAAACGCGAATTGCGTTTATATAATTTAATCAATTGTCCAAATAATTGTCCTCATATTCAAACCCTACTCTGGATCGTCACCAGAATTGGATCATTTCTTCATTGCACTATGGAAAACCATTCTGGAAAGTTTCAGTTGATCCATTTATAACTGGGACGCAGGGCTGTAGCCACGATAATTGAAGTAGCCAGGTTGCGAGTGAAGCGAACAATGAGGCTGGATCCAGATTGCCGTTATGGGCCCCTGGTCGAGGTTATATTTACATTGTAAAGACCAAACTTAATGATGTTCTGTAGTAGCAATCTAATATAAAAGTATGTTTTGAACTACCATCAGGGCTATAGTGGAGCAAAGCAATAGGCTACAAACACTTTAAATTCAAAGCAAGCAGGTTTAATGTATTCGAGAGAAAGATTGTTACAGCATTGTTATTTCCTGATGATAGCATTTGTTATTATTTTAGTATTTTGTCTTTTGACATTAACAAATTTCGGATTATGGCTTTACACAAATTATTATTTGTGGAGGTGGAGAAGAAATGCAACGTATGATAGGTGGGAAGAAAGAAGCGACGGTAGTAAATGAACCACCAGATCGTGTTTTAAGGTTGCGGAATGAATGAGTGTGCGTGAATGTTTTTGGAAGAAGGAGAAAGCTATTACATGTGTGGCTGAACTGTGTTCGTTGAATTATGGTAGGATAAGAAACAATCGTGTACAATAGTAATCGTGAGTACTACTACAATAAAAGGCGACACCCTAGAGGAAAACGAGGAGGCAAAAATCTTCGACGGAAAATACCTACGATTATAACCGTTAGGTCAAGATCAGTGGATAAATTTAAATTGAAAGAATCTTCCCAACGTGTTCGTGTTGTTGTGAACGTTGAATTATCAAAGGGCAAACATGACACCAATTTGGAAAAGAAAATGTCCGCCCCATCATTTCTCCCTATTTTCGCTACTGCCAATGCCCGGTCCATCTTGAATAAACGTGAAGAAGCGGAAATACTATTTAAGCTCATCGAAGCGGATATCATCATTATAACCGAATCATGGATAACTCCACATACAGCTCCCGAAATGTATAATATACAATCATAAATATGGCCTTCAGCAAATGCAGAATCAATCAGCGTGGCGGGGGTGTCGTGGCATATGTTAAGGACAACTTGCAATGCGAAATATTTGATTTTATATCAGTACCACCAGAGCTTGAAATGATTTGGTTATTAATGTCTCACCACAAACTACCTAGGGCAGCGCCATATTTGATCATCGGCTGTGTTTATATACCCCCAGAATACCACATCAGCTACTTTTGATTGAACACATTGAGTCAACAGTGGATATTATCCGTACCCACAAACCTCAAGCTGGAATTATGATCACTGGAGACTTTAATAGAACTGAAATTAAATCTTTCTGTAGTGGTAATAATTTAAAACAAATTGTAAGATTGCCCACAAGGGGAATGCAATTTTGGACTTAATGGTTACTAATATGTATGACTTATACCATATTCCTGAATCACTTTCCCCAATGGGGCGCAGTGACCACGGAATGGTTTTAGTTAAACCATTAAATAATAAACCATTAAATTATCATCTTAAAAAAACTATCCAACCAATCTCAGATTCCAACCTTAACCAGTTCGGTAGGTGGATGCAGTCTTAGACATGGTCAGATGTCTTTGATGCCCCAGACACGCAATCTAAAACTAACATTTTTTATAGATCTATAGATCTTGCAATTAAGAAGTTCTTCCCCACTAAAACACTGAAACTACACAACACTGATAAAAAGTGGATGACTGCCAAAATTAAGGAACTAATTGCTAAAAGACAAAGAGCCCATGTAATTGGAGATTTAGAGAATAGGAAAATATATCGAAATTTAGTTAGGAAAAAAATTATTAAGGCTAAAAACTCATACAATGTTAACAAAGTTCGTTACCTTCAGAAAGTGGAACCGGGTAGGTGGCATCGACAAGTAAAATGGTTTTCCAATATGAACAGGGACTCTCTTACCATCCATGTCCCTGGCATTAAATGAAGGTGACCATATAGCTATCGCTAATGTTGTAAATAAACACTTAGCCAGTCACTCTCAAAGTCAGAATGCAGTAGATACAAAAGATCTCCCTGCAAATCTCATTGTCCTGTGCCACCTACCCAGTTCCACCCATGGGAAATTTACGAGGATCTGAAGAGGGTGTCTGTTCATCAACAGGTCCAGATGGTATCCCACAAAAGGTGCTTAAAGCATGCGCCTACGAATTCAGCCTACCTGTAACACATATCTTTCCTTGCAGTGGAAATTGGCCAATGTGATCCCCCTTCCGAAACAGACACCCCCTTCTATGAACAAATTAAGGCCAATTTCCCTGACCTCTACCTTGGCTAAAATTGCTGAGAAAAGAGTGTCAAGGTTTGTGATTGATACAATTAACCCTTTTATTAATCAACAACAATATGGAAACCAAAAAGGAGTTCCATAGTTTATTAGGCCTATCATAGGTCTGTCTCTTATACACATCTAGATGTGTATAAGAGACAGCAATATGCACTCTCGTTCTTACAGACTTTACCAAAGCTTTCGATTTGATCGATCACCGAATAGCTTTTAACTGTTTATATAACTTTGGTATCTCTCCATCTATCTTGCAGTGGGTCGTTGACTTTCTTTCAAATCGCAAACAGAGGTGCAAGTATAAAAACTGTTACTCTGATTGGGAAGTTTTAACTGGAGATGTCCCGCAAGGGACTATCCTAGCACCAATCATTTTTCTTTGCATTATTAATTCTACCCTTAATGATGTTCCTATTGATGGGGATGTTCATGTCTGGAAATATGTTGATGACCTGACACTTGGAGAGAGCAGGTTGGTGGAGGGTCAATGTTCCCTTCAAGCTAAACTTGACTCACTTTCTGTCTGGTCACATACCAACAAACTCAAACTGAACCCCTCCAAGTGTCAGGTTATGCAAGTCTACTTTGGCCGCAATGATGTTCCAGATATAAGCATCCACTTATCCAATAACCGTTTAACGGTTGCTAATAACGTCAAACTACTAGGAGTAGTTCTAAGCAGTGACCTAAAATGGGAAAATCATGTTGACCTAATGGTCAAAAAGGCTAATAGGAAACTATTCATGTTAAGAAAATTAAAAGAGACTGGTTTCAATAATAATGAGCTGTTAACAGTCTACGTGGGATACATACGGCCCATCCTAGAATATGCAGCTCCTCTGTGGTCTGGGGGACTTACAGTTTACCAGGAGACTTCCTTGGAAAGGGTGCAAAAACGTGTATGTCGGTCCATTCTTGTAAACAATTATGTTGACTATCAGGATGCTCTCGAAAAACTTGGGCTCGAATCACTCACACAACGTAGGATTTTATTATGCAAAAAGTTTGCTATAAAAATTAGCAACGATAAAATATTTAGTCACTGGTTCCCAAAATCTAAAAATATTTCATCAATGAAACTTCGTAAACACAGAAATTATGAAATGCCTTTCCTGAGGACTGAACGTTTTAAAAATAGCCCCATCCCTTATCTAATGAAATTAATTGAAGAATAAATTTAATTTTGCAATTGTTTTTAACTTTGCGAAATTTCTAATGAAATTATTTTTAAAAATTCAAATTGTGCAATTTTAACGTAGGGAACTTATACTGATGCTTTGGGTTTGATTTTGTATTGTTTTAATGTGATGTTTTTACCGTTTCTCGTTCTTGTTTTCCTTTTGTACAAAATACACCAATTTAGCTTTTGGCTGCCAATGTATTTTTTTATGAAGGAGTTTTTTTGAATAAAGATACCGATTATAACAATCAAAAATTGTCGGGGAAAAATACAAGTGTACGATATTATTTCTTTAATAAAATAGTATTTTTTTAAATAAAATGTACAAATGTACATGTTGCCACTGACAGAACAGGTAATGATGTCAAATTATTGTAGGCCTATAGCATCAGAACATTGACATAATTTTCATGATCAAAACATGGAGGTATAATCGACACCTCTTGTCAGGTTTTGGTATGTTGGCCCCTGGTACGCATAGGCCGCGGCTTGGTGAAAACATGCATCCTAGTTTCTTAATCAATCACTGATAAATCAAAAGAAGAAAATAATGTAAAGTATCATTAACCATTCACTCCAGAGTTCAGAGACTTGTGGTTCCTGAGTTTGTCAAGAGGAAGTAGGTTGAGTCTAAACATACAGGTGGAGTTTAGCCCCTTTTTTCAGATTTGAAACCTAATCAATTAACTTGTGGTCTGCTAAAAAGTGGTCAGGTTGGAACCTGACCAATCTTACCGGTGGCTACGGCCCTTGGACGTTAGCAATTTAAATGACCCTCAAAATCACAAAATAAAATGTTGGATCGTCCCCAACACACACTCATTTCTTATATATGCACATAGTTGATTTGGGCAAAAAGTACTAAAAGTGACTAAAGTGCCGGTCAGAAAAACTTCTTCGAAAATGTATCCATGTTACAATGAAGAAATTATTCAATTTTAGTGATAAAATGTTCCTTCCTCAATTAATTCTGACTTGAGAAAATAAAAGAATATATGAGAAAACATTTTGACATTTAGATTGTTTTAAAGTATTAAAATACACCAATTCAACATTGCATTGCAGTTCAGTTAACTTTTAACTTGACGGAAGATACTACTAAGTTGGCTCTAATAGATGAACCAAACAGTATCACAATCTCTGCCAGAATTTTTGAAATAATAGCAACAGGTAGGTCTATGTATTATTTAAAGAAAAAGTGAATAATTCTTCGAAAATTCTATTGAACGGCAAATACTCAGTATTGCATTGCACACTTCAATGCTATCATAAATTGAAAAGCCATAGTTTAAATCATTGTAATTCAAAAAATATGCCTGGGCCTATACTACTGAATTTATGAATTTATTGATACTGCTGTACAGTATATAGAATTGTTTATCCCTTTATGACTTTTTCTAATTATTATTTAGACGGACCAATCATAGTCAACGTAAATCTAACTGTAGTTGAGGAATCCACTCTTTTTAAGACATCGTAAGTAGTACGACAATTTTAAATTGGCAATAAATTATAAACCGTTTACGAAGAAATTCACGGTATAATGGTATTAATAGTACATTCTCACGTTAGTTAGAGTTTTAACATTATGTTTTTTTTTTTGTTTTTTTTTTACACAG